AGGAAAGGTTTTGAGGTTTGAAATGGTCAGAAACCAAGAATCACATGTTATGAGTTTTTGACTTGTTTTTGAAGTTATCTTGACAAACATGGTTTCAATGCAAGGTACATGTCTTGCAGGGTGGTTAGAATCTTTAAACATGTTTGTTCTGAGTTTATAGAGCATGCTTGTGCAGAAAGAACAAGTGCAAATATCCATACAAGTTGACTTTGTGATTAAAGCTTCTTTACAAGAATGGAATGGTTACTTTCTTCCAAAAATGGAAATGCAACTTGGATAATGATTCAAATGCTTGGAAAATGGCTCCATATGTTGTGTAAACATTTAATTATCGAGTGACAAACAAGTTTGAGGCCTGCAAAGTTAAGATTATGCAGCATATGCTTGGATTTGAATTCTTGTTCATCATGAAATAACTTGTAATTCAAGTTTGAAAACCCTAACTTCATCTCTTCGATTCTCCTTGATCACAAATGATCTCAAGGAGTTCTTGGACATTTTGGAAATATTGTAATATGCTCTACAACCCCTCTTTGAATCACTTTTGAAAATTACCCCTTGGAACTATATGAAAAAGTGCCATGAAGTTAGGTCAAAATCCTGACCAAAACTAGGGCAAAATTACACTAAGTGTTCAATTTCAAGACCATGAGTTTATGAATTAATAACTTGAGATCCAAGAATTTTCAGGAGAAGTTGTGTAAATAAATATTTTAGATATCATGGAGATCTCCGACTTTCATGTTGAAAGTTTCTTTTGAATCATCTTGCATCATGGTGAAAAATTGGCTCAAAGTTATGAAAAAACATGAAGTTTTAAACACTTAAAAAAATTTCTAAGTTAGAAAACTTTGACTTTTCAAAATGAAATATTGACTTTTTGATTTCTTGATGAATAAGTTTCATATTTTGACATGTTTTGATGAATTGTGATCTTTGACACTGAATTTTAACCAAAAAGACAAAGTTTGACTTTTCAGTGTACAGTTAACTTTTGATCAGTTGACTGAGAATTCACTATCAATCCAATTGATCTTGAGAAATGTTTTAGGTCATGCCATTAGGTCAAAAAGATGCAATTGAATTGTTGAAACCATGCTTCAAACCAATTGACCATTTGCTAGTTCAAAAATCAGAAATTGCCCTTTCTCAGTCAAAACCCTAATTTTTACCATTTTGCCCTTTTGATGATTTAATCAAATTTCTTGAGGAATTATGGTCCAAACTTGATCAAATGATACATATGAGTTTATAATGTTTATTTGGATCAAGAATTATGAAGTTTGACTGTAAATTGGCCATAGTTGACTTTTTCCCCAATACAGCTGATTTTTAGGTTAACTGCTCAATTGACTGGGCAAAAGTGTGATCCAAGGCTTGAAACTTGACATGAGTAATCTTGGGGATCCATAATGATCCATGAAAGTCATATTAAGCATTTAAAGTTCAATTATCCTTGTGAAATCTCAAACCCTAGTTTTGGTCATCAGTGCTTAAGGAGTTGTCTTGAGCTGATAAATCCTGGTGCAGTCTTGAACTAAGAGAGATCTTGGTGAGAAATTATTTGATGAATGAGAGGGAAAATTTTAGGGTATAAAAATTGCATTCGATGGCCTTAATTTCTTCATTCATAGCATCCTTCCAATTTTTGTTTCTTACTGCTTCGTCGAAACTGACATCTTCAGTGTCTGCCAACAAACAAACGAGATGCACTTCTTCTATGTTTTCATACAAGTCTTGTAACATGGGCTATGAGAGTCCATTTTCATCATCAGAGTCTTCTGGTTCTGTCGAATTGTTTTTCGATATATCACCTGGTAATTCGACCATAACTCTAGTCGAGTTGTTCCAGTCCCATCTGCTTCCTTCGTTTACTCGAACATCTCTACTCACTATCACCTTTTTGTTTATTGGGTTAAAAAGTCTGTAACCTTTCGTTTTCTCATCATACCCAATGAGTATGTATTTATGACTCTTATCTTCCATCTTTTTTTTTCTTTGATCAGGTACATGTGCATAAGCCACACTTCCAAACACTTTGAAGTGAGACACAGTTGGCTTTTGTTCGCTCCAAGCTTCTTGAGGTGTTAAATCTCCCAACTTTGAATGTGGACATCTATTCTGAATGTAGATTGTACATTGTATAGCTTCTGCCCAAAATTACTTCGACATGTTTTTGCTCTTAAGCATTGATCAAACCATGTTGTGGACTGTTCGATTCTTTCTTTCCGTCACACCATTTTGTTGAGGTAAGTATGCTGCAGTCAGAAATCTCCTTATGCCTTGCTCTTCATAGTACTTCATAAAGGTTGTTGAAGTATACTCCCCACCTCTGTCTGATTGAAGAGCTTTGATGTGCCTGTCTGTTGCTTTCTCCACCATTATCTTAAACTTCTTGAATACTTCGAAGGCTTTTGACTTTTCTTTCAGAAAATACACCCAAGTTTTCCTTGAGAAATCATCAATAAAGGATGTAAAGTACCTTTTGCCACTGAAGATTTCTGGGGTAATTGGTCCACATATGTCAGTGTCAATCAATTCCAAAATTTGTTTAGCCTGATATTCTGGCTTCCTTTGAAATGAGGTTCTCGTCTGTTTTCCAAACACACATTCTTCACAGAACTTTCCTTCGAATTCTACGTCTGGAAGTCCATGCACCATATTTTTCTTTGCTAACCTCCTTAGTCCAGCCTGATGTAGATGACCAAAACGTAGATGCCACAGGGATGCTTGGTCTTCGACATTGACTTGCAAACACTTTTCTCAAATGCTTCTCAAATTCAACTTGTAGATTCGATTTCTCCCCATTTCGACTTGAGCAACCAAACGTCCTGACTTGTCTTTTAAGTGAAAACTTCGATCTTCTATGAGTATCGAATAACCCTTTTTTGTAAGTTGTCTCAGACTCAAAATATTTGCTTTGAGGTTTGGTACATAGTACACATCTTGGATTGATCCTATCAAATCATCCTACTGCAAGAAACTGATTGTTCCTTTTCCTTCGACCCTTACTTTCGACGCATCTCCAAAGGAAACATGACCATCCTCAATTTTCTTTATTTCTTTGAACAAGTGATTATGGCCACACATATGGTTACTTGCTCCTGAGTCCAGGTACCACATAGTGTCATTTTCTGCATCAGCTTCCTTTAACAAAAATCCTTCATTTGATTCTATTTCTAGGGTAAGATTTGTTGTTTCTTCTATCTTTCTTCTGAGTCGACAATATTTTGCAAGATGTCCCACTTTACCATAGTTGTAGCAACTGTAGGAGTTGCAATCTTTCACATAGTGCCCCTGTTTGTTACATTCGTAACATTCGATATTGTTGCAATTCGACCTACCACCTTTCTGGCCACGTCCTCCGCCATGCCAGTTTTTTTTGGCTTGACTGCCCTCTGTCGAAGTTGTTATTTTGGTAACTTCGACCACGATTACGTCCTCCACGTTCATGTCCTCTCCCACACCAATTTTGATAGAAAAGTGTCTTTTCGTCTCTGTTGGGTTCTGCATCCTCAAGTGTCTCCTCATTCTTCTTTATTTTGCATTGTTCATGTGCCTCAAGTGAACCAGCGACTTCTTCGACAATGATTGTCGAAAGATCCTTCGCCTCTTCTATTGTGCTTACTATATTTTCGAACTTATCTGTCAAAGATCTCATAATCTTTTTGACAATACAATCGTCAGTCATTACTTCTCTATTTTGATTGAGTTGATTTGCCATCGTCTGCACACGAGTGATGTAGTCCAACACAGACTCTGTCTCCTTCAGCTTCACTCTCTCCATTTCTCCTCGAAGAGTCTGCAAGCGAACTTGCTTGACTCTATCTGCTCCTTTGAAAGCTTTTTCTAGCGTGTCACATGCTTCCTTCGACGTAGTTAAACCTGCAATCTTTTTGAAAACTTATTCGTCGACTGCTCTGAACAACATGTACAATGTTGTTTTATCCTTTGCTCGCGTTTCTTTCAACGCCTTGTTCTAAGCAATTGTGTTTGCCGTCGTATTTGATGGTTCTTCAAACCCATCGTTAGTTACTTTCCATATATCTAACGATCCCAGAAGTTCCTTCATCTGAATACTCCAGTTCTCATAATTCGACTTTGATAGTCATGAGTGTGGCATTTGACCCATCATATTTGTCATGCGCTCTGATATCAATTTGAGGAGAAAATGAGAGTGGACTTAAACTTGATTTCTTTTATAAAATGTCCAACTGACTTTTAATATGAATACAAAGTGATTTATATAGAGATCACAAGATAGAATATTAAATGTTACAACATTAACTATTACTAGGTCCCTAAGGAATAAACTTCCCACTGTCCAAAGAGAATCTGTCTTTTACACTACCCAATGCAGAGTTGAATTTAACCAACAAAAAAAAATATAAAAAATAGAATGAAAACTTTGATAGATCATTGTATGGTCTATTTGGTAGCTTAAGTGGATTTGCATGGAATCCAACAACAATGAGGTTCAAGGCCGAGGATGAAGTTTGGAAAGATATTATATGAGTGAGTATTCTTTTTTGGTTCATTTAGTAATTCTATTGACCTTTCATTTTATTACAACCAAAGTATATTGTATTGAGTTGCTAACACATGGTGCGAATAATGATAGGAAAAACCACATGCTGCAAAGTGGAAAACCATGCAATTTAAGCATTATGTTGTTTTGAAGGACTTTTTGGCCTAGATCGAGCAGTGGGGAAAAAATCCTTTACTAATAGGATGAGACACATTCAACTCAAAAAGAAGACGGAAAAGGAAATAGAAAAAGAAAATGACAGTGTTGATTTGAATGACCCTATTGATGATACTTACATGGAAGACCATCATACTGGTATATTTGATGAAGTGCGAGAAGAACCCCCATTGTTGACTCATATAGTCCTCCAGCATAGGGGCCATCATCACATCAATTTACAGTGACATCTGGTTCTCGCGGAACGAAACTTAAGGCCCCATTGAATGGTTTTATGGAAGCTCAATTGGATAGAATGACAGTTAGCATTGGACTTGTGGTTGATGCTTTGAATAAGGGTAATAACATTTCTGATCAATTGCATGATGTGGCTAAACAAAAAATAGAAATATCCGAACGACAAGTTGCAGCCATTGAAAGGCGTAATGAAATCTTACAGAATAGCATACCTCGAGTGTATACAGGAGTTGATGTATGGAATGCTGTCTGAGTTGGATCTGCTTCAACAATTTCATTAGAAATGCTATGAAGTACATTGCAATGATAACAAAAAAAGGAGTTTATTTTTGGTGTGCCCCCTGACATCCGCCTACAAGTTCTTTTTCAAATGATGGATGTTCCTTTTTATCACTGAGGGTATTTGGTCTCTTTATGTGTGATATATATCTATGGAATTCTGTTTTTTGTATATGTAATCAAGACATATTTGATGCTTATAATTGTATTATGTATATGTAATTGCCACTTTAGGTAGTTGGCGATAGATTGTCTGATGATTTTTTGGTTAGGCTAACTATGACATTTGATAGTAGATTGTATGATGTTTTTGAACACAATTAGTTTGTAATGCTATTTTTAAAGTTAAATAATTAAAAGAATTAACTTGATCGTTTTATCAAATATTTGACGTGCAAGGAAATTTTTAGTATTTTTCTTTGAGTAGTGTTGATATATAAAATCACTTATAATCAAAATTGATTATAAGCTATATCCACACCTATTTCAAAAATAGAATTTGAGAGAAAAATTCTTACAATTCAATTACTATCACAATGCTATTTGATAAAAAGATTAATGAAATTGAAAGCAAGTAAAAGCGGAAAAGTAAAAACACACAAGGAATTTGTCTACACAGTTTCCCACTATCGTCCTCGCGTGTGGGTACGTCTACGCCTAATTGCAATGTAACAATGATAATTCTTATATGCAAAATGTTTAATACAATGGAAAAGTTAGAAACAACAATACAAAATTCTCCATTTTGGTGTTGATTTTTCCAACCTTTAATCTTAAGTAGGATCAAATCAACCGATAGATGCAACCTATTGGCCGCTTAAGCTACTTCCTTAAAAGGACTTCAAACACCCCAAGGTTTCTTGGAAAGATTTCAACCACTCCAAGGGATTTTTTACTCGAGTAAATTCTATTGCACACTATCAACACAAGATCACTGATTCTATCAACTAAGTCTTGCTACTTCCTTTAAAATATTTAAACCACTCTAAGGTTCCTTGAAATGATTTCAAACACTCTAAGGAATTTTTCACATGGATGATTCCTTCTCGAACGATCTTGCACGAAAACCCCTAATTCAATAAATGATGTTGGAGGACAAATCCGATGGTTTTTCCGCATGAAGACTCCAACAAGAACTCAACCCAAACCAAGTGGAAATCTTCAATTCTTCGTCTAGATGGAACCCCGATGGAACATCATCACAATGTAATGTTGGTGTGTATGCATAGATTGGAAGGTTGAAGATAAAGAGAAAAAATAGGCTAATTTTATGATATCATCAAGTTAGAAATGATGCATGAATGTATATTTATAATTTGGAAAAGTTTATGGTAAAAAGGACAAATTCGAAATAAAAGAAAATGAAAATTTAACAAAAACATAATTTATGTGTCGACCTCAAACTCGTATGTGTCTATGCATATTGTATAAAAAAGTTGCGTGTGTCGATCTGAAGGACTTTATGTGTCGACCTGAGCAAGTCAGTAGCTACAAGCTTTAAAACGTGAGTAAAATGTGTCGACCTGAAATATAGATGTGTCGACACATAAAATAAGAATTTGTTCAATTTCAAAAATCTTCCAGTACGTGTCGACCTGTAAGATACATGTGTCGAACTGTGACTTACAGAAGCTCACAGGCTTTAAAACACAGTTACATGTGTAGACCAAAAATTCGGATGTGTCGTCACATGTAAGATAAAAATGTGAAGAAAATGTTTTTCAATGAGCTTGGTCAATTTCAAAGTGGTTTTTGATGATTCCTAAGACCTATGATGTAGAGGAGTGTCACAAGACAAAGAGATGTAATTAATTTTACCAGTGTGCCATCTTTTCTGATTTTGACATCATGAAAAATACCGTATATTGAAGTTGTACTCACAAACTCTCCCTTTCTATGATGGCAAAACTTTTGACGATGCATTACAAAGGCTCTCCCTGTCTTTATGCTTCCTATCTTCATCTCACATATGTTTCTCCCCCTTTGACAACATCAAAAAGAAGATAGAAACCGATTAGAAGTACCAAAGTTTTCAAACAATTAGTAAATACCAAACAGAGGCAATCTTTGCATATTAGAGCAACAATTACATTTCCCCATATATATATATATATATATATATATATATATATATATATATATATATATATGTAATAATGCAAATTTTTAAATAACTGGAAGCACACATCACAACAAATGTAATTTAATATAAAAGTAATGAAAGTTAATTTGAGCGTCATGATTTTGTAACATTTCATAATGGAACTCCTGATGTCGCACATGCATGTGCAAACCATAGCAACAATATAATATCACTACTAACACCAAAATAAAAATATTTTTTAAACAAAGTAATTATGACAACATGAAAAATATATTGCAAAATAAGATAAGGAAAATAACCACAACACATGCTTGCATATTGAGAATAAATCTATACAAATGTGAAAGAATTAATACATGAAGTCATTGTAAGCATATAGAACAAGAACACAAATGGTTGTTGAACGAAATTTTTTGGAAATGAAAGTTCATGGTTTTCATCATTTGAAAGTATATGAAGCATTTTTGAAAGAATCTTAAGAATATGCATTAAGGAAAAACTTGCGTTCAAGGAGAAATTTAAACGATATTACCTCATTCTTGAAGGATTAGAAGTTGCACTCACCAAACAAAAAATACTCAAACACAAAGTTAGAGTGAATACATGAAATGCAATTAATGAGAGAGAACTAGACAATATTTGAGATATCGATTATCCCCAATTCTCCGTGTATGTTGACAAATTATTCGGTTACGAGTGGTTTAGTGAAAATATCGACAAGTTGATTTTTACTATCAACATGCTCAAACACAACATCCCCTTTTTCAACATGATCAAGAAGAAAGTGGTGACGTATCTCAATGTGTTTATTCCTTGAAAGTAGCATCGGATTTTTGGTTAGATTTATGGCACTAGTATTGTCACACATGATAGGAATACGTGATAGTTTAATATCAAAGTCCAATAGTTGTTGTTTGAACCACAATATTTGTACCTAACAACTACCGGTTGCCATGTATTTCGCCTTGGGAGTTGATAAAGCTACGGAAACTTGCTTTTTACTATGCCAACTTACCAATGATTTTGAAAACAAGTGACAAGTTCCACTAGTACTTTTCCTATCCAATTTGCAACTGGAAAAATTGGAATCAGAGTAACCAACCAAATTACAATCGTTTTCCTTGGAATACTTAAGCCCGAATTTTAAGGTACCAATGAGGTATCTAAAGATTCATTTTACGACCTTTAAATGAGATTCCATGGGACCGCTTGATATCGTGCACACATACAAACACTAAACATAATATCACAATGAGATGCTATAAGATAAAGAAGAGAACCGATCATACCTCTATACCTTTTTACCTCAACATCCTTACCTTTCTCATCCTTGTCTATATTGTCATTTGTGGCCATGGGAGTGTCAATATCCTTAGCACTGTCCATTCCGAATCTCTTAAATAATTCAATATAATATTTGGTTTGACATACAAACGTTCATTTATCGAGTTGTTTAATTTGCAGCCCGAGAAAGTAGTTTAACTCCCCCATTAGGCTCATTTCAAACTCTCCATGCATAAGCTTAGAGAACTCCTTGATAAGATGCATATTAGTAGATCCAAAAATTATATCATCTACATAAATTTGAACTAATAAAATATGCTTTCCCTGGCGTTTAATAAAGATAGTAGTGTCAACTTTCCCTCTAGAGTATCCTTGTTCAAGAAAAAATTTGCTAAGTCTATCATACCATGCCATAGGGGCTTGTTTAAGACCGTATAATGCATGTTTAAGCTTGAAAACATGATTAGGAAACTCATCATTTTCAAAATTGGGAGGTTTAGAAACATACACCTCTTCACTTATGTATCTGTTAAGGAATGTACTTTTTACGTCCATTTGAAATGATTTGAAGTTCTTAGAACAAACATAAGCTAATAAAAGGTGTATAGCCTTAAGTCGGGCCAATAGAGCACAAGTCTCCTCATATTCAATGCCCTCCTCTTGGTTATATCTTTGAGCCACAAGATTGGCCTTATTTATTTTTATCACACCATGTTCATCAAGCTTATTCTTAAATACGCATCGAGTACATATGATTTTATGATTTGTGGGACAAGGGACAAGATTCCAAACGTCATTTCTTTCAAATTGATTTAATTCTTCTTGCATGGCAATAAGTCAATACTCATCAAGTAAGGCATCATTAGTGTTTTTAGGTTCAACTTGTGATACATAAGCATGATGACAACAAAGACTACTTATTTTAGAGTGAGTTGGTACCCCTTTTTGATATCACCTATAATGTTGTCAAGAAGATGATCTTTGGATGTTATCCACTCCAAAGGAAGACAATCATTTTCTTCATGACCTTCATCAACTTTCTTTTCTTGGGTGCTATTTATATCCTCCTCAATCTCCATCACTTTAGGTTGATTAACTCCTTCATCGGTGTCTTTGAGTATGTCTTTCGTGGATGCACCTACACCATGAAAATAACTACCTTTCCCAACACTATTTGGGTAAGTCTCATCAAAAATAACATGAACGGACTCTTCAACAATAAGTAATATCTTGTTATAAACTCTATATGATTTACTAGATTGAGAGTATCCGAGAAAAATACCTTCACCGGATTTCGCGGCAAATTTTCTAAAATTGTCTTTTCCATTATTTAAAGAAAAACATTTAGATCCAGTTTTATACCTTTCAAAAGTTCATAAGGAGTTTTTTCAAGAATTGGAAGAATAATTATTCTATTCAAGACATTACATGTCGTGCTAATAGCATCGACCCAAAAATATTGTGGTAGACTACAATCATTGAGCATTGTTCTTGCCAACTCCACTAAAATGCGATTTTTCCTCTCAACAACACCATTTTGTTCCGGAGTTCTAGGAGCTGAAAAGTTATGTTAAATATCAAATTTATCACAGTATTATTCAAAGAGGTGGTTTTTAAATTCACCTCCATGATTGCTTCGAATAGAAACTATCTATGAGTTCATTTTATTTTGATCAATCTTGGCAAAACATGTGAAAGATGTGAATGTTTCATCTTTGATGCTTAAGAAG